TTAATTAACTCAAGACGACATTCTAAACGCTGATCGAAGTCCTTTTGAAAAATAAATACACAGAAGAAACAAACTTGTACCAAGTCGTTACGAGTTATTTTTCGATACGCTCGATTGAGCTGATGGAGAGAAGAAAAATTTACATATTGTGCGCCGCTGAAGAGAAGCGACCGTTTACGAGTCTGATGGTAATGACAATGGTAATGGAAATAACAATAATAGAAAAATAACGTTGCCTTCTACACAATAGACGCATAAGTTTTTCTGAGTAAAACAAAACAGTAAAAAAACCAGTACTTTTCATACCTGATGAAGAAGCAGTAGGAAATACCCGACATCGCATACAACAAGAAAAACAAGAATAACAAAAACCCATTGGTGTGTTCAAATATCTTGAAGGCCTTAAAACACAGTCAACGTTTGTGTATTAGAATACATGGGAATGATACCATGATTTAAAAATGTTTAAGCGTTTACCTTTAAGATCGCAGTAGTAAGAACAAGACTGATCATTAAGAACAATAAACATTTGATGTACCAGGCCGCCCAATGGACCCAGTTGGCCAGACCCATCATTTTCATAGACTCCTTCAAACGGTTTTGCTTCTCGAAAACAATTTCCTACAAGAGATAACATGTGCGATATTTTCAGTTTAGTTATTTCTTGGAGYGGGRAGAGCAGTAATGCCGCTGTCTTAATTAATGTTCTTRTGGTGATGACAGTGGAATGGATGCGAAAACAAGGGAGGAACCTTGACATTAYCATCCTGAGAGGAAAGAGGATTCGCACTTCGAATTTACGTCATGAATTAATTCTTCTCCAATAGCAACKGCGACGAGGTTAATGCAATTTAAAAAGTAAAATGTACAACTGATCTGCATATACWCATGGAAACTTACTGGTATATTTACTAAACTAAGGGCAACTCAGACTTTCCCAGTCGACCGTTTCCTCGCTTGCGACGGTTCATGTCAGTAGTCAGTTATACTCATCGTAATTGATTCATGATATAATATTGATAAATGTGATTCAAGGGGCGAATAGAGAGTCATGCAAATGAATTTCGTTTTTTTCAAAAAGTTAACATATGATTGCAAGTACTAGTTAAATGCATTTTGTTACAACCACCCTTAAAGTAAACAACCAGAGTCTGTAAAGTACCAAAGTCCCCGTCCACACGTGTGTATAGGAAACGTGATCATGGTAAATGGAATTCACTACTGGACCCAGAGTCAACATTTTGAAAGTCATATTCACGTGAATGTATCTCGCATATGCACTGAATTCAAGAACTTACAAGAAAAGGTTCAAATGTACACTGATACATAAAGGCCAAAGGAGTCTTGATAAGGCCAAAGTAATAAGTTACCTTTATTATTGACATAGCTGAATAGATAAATGCCACAGTGAATAGCAAAGGCATCAGCTGTATTATTCCAGTAGAAAAATAATTCGTACTGTAATCAGGATACGGAAATTGCTGTGAAAATAGAAAATAAGAAAAAAGTCAATTAGTAAACAAAAGAATTGAAACGCAGCAGTCAAATAGTTTATTAACACTATACGATGCTACTCGCAACGTTGAACGTCAAATTATCTCTTTTTGAAGCATGAGGAGTGCCGAATGGTCCAGTGAGATTTTCCGAGAACGGCCCGCCAGCTGTTTGCAAAGCCATTGGTCATCATCCTGTTTTCATCCCAAAAATAATAAAAATGTTGGATCCCATCCCATATGTATGAGTTCAATGATTCCTCAGTCTCTGTTGAACATTTTATTTATCTACATAAACTATTAGCTCGAAAATATTTTCATAACATTATCAAAGTTTTTTCGATATGTTACAATGTTACAAGTAGTAGAACAGCTACTTTGATGTACATTATTTTCGTTACTCATTACCTGTAAATTCAAAGGTATTATGGATAGGATGTGTGTCTTTTCCTGGATAAGAGCCATATCAACTGCATATTGGATGGGTATAAACTTCTCTGTATACTGACTGAAAAAAAGTTCAGTTACTATAAGGTGGTGCCTAGTAGTAAGACTCGGGGAATTGGGTTTCTGCGGTCATGCACTAATCTGGTTTAGTTTAATCCGGTTTCGGCTAATTATAGTCTTTAATATGACTGTAAAATCCTCCTTATTCTCCAAAATGGTCGCCAACATATTTTTTGCGAGAAGAAAATTGTTAATTTTTCCCCTCGTTCAACATTCAAGGTTTAAACATTCGTACAAAGTATATTTGACATGCACGAATTGTATGAATATTTTTAAAAAATAATAAAACAAACAAACAAACAAAAAACAACAACAATAAAAACAAAAGTAAATAAAGATATTAATGTAACGAGAATATCTTTACCGATGTAAGAGAACTGGAAATGATTACGGGCTTCCTGTGTAACTGGGATTTCGACGCTGAATTCTCCCTTGTTAATCGACTCGATAGCCAATCAGCGTGCGAGAATACCAGATACAAAGTGAAGAAATGCATATCGTACCAAAATTCCGAACACCTTTTGGTATTTTCATTGGAAATAGGTGTTTAACGGAACAGGTAAAATATATGCTTTTTTTAAAATATTCCAGGAGTTATTTTGACCAAGGTTGAAAAAAATGCAAAAAAAGTGATAATAAGCGACGTTCATCGTGGAGAAAAGTGAATTGTTTTTGATGCTGCGCACGCTACTCCTTCAGGTGTACAGTCCTTATCAAGCAGTACAAGTATTTCCCCACAACCGGCCATGATTAGCATTAATRTAACTCATTTAAAAATTTAGCATTCTTACGAATAATCTCTTGGTCCTGTCCTTTGCCAACTTGGATATGTTTGATCTGTATTCCATCTTTCCCAACTTTTCGTTGTTAATCGAATAGTGTACTTCACCTTCTTTGGTAATTCAGATTGACCTTCCTTTATATCAAACACTACCACTACATAAACAAAGTTATCAAACTCATTAAGAATTCATGAACTGTGAGTCCAAGGGCTGTCACGTGTATCGGTTCTGATGAKTTTTAAATCAAGTTAAAACTTAAACAAGTTAAAACTTGCAAATCTGACATAACAAAAGTGTTTTTTTCTTTTTCAGAATCACTCGTTTTTTGACCATTTTTGATCTTACTCATTATAATATATTCTTCTAAAGAGTAGCAATGCTATATTGCTGGGTGATTTGAGAAAATGCGACTAGCCAATCAGCGCAAAGCTGACAAGCTTATGTTGTAAACATAACCCCCCGACAGGAGGAATTTGCACTGCAAAACTCGATCCAGTAGAGTAGGCTAGCTGCCTTTCATTTTATTCCATCCGAAAAATCGAAGCTAAAACGCAAAGAGAAATTGAAAATCTTTATAAAATAGCTTTTAAATGTCAATCAAATATTTATCGTTATAGAAATAGAATTTTATCTTAAAAATGAAATAACAAATAATTTTTTCTTTAAGACCACGACACTCCCCTCCCTGGTAAAAATAATTGTTCTGTTTTCTTCGCGGGTTCTCCGACTTCAAGAAGACTTCAGAAGGTCGTTAAAGCGACGTTTAAGTCCACAGTATCTTTGGAGGAGACATTGCAAATCCTTCTTCTTACAGTTCTTAGCTCTTGTTTCCTCTAAGCTTTGAGGTATCTACAACATTACCTGGAAGAGCTAGAGCAGCTTATCTCCATAGCGTTTAATATTTTTGGTACAAATCAACTGTCGTAGTTCATCCTTTGTCGCATTTTCGGAAATAAGCCGCAAGCGTACTCGACAGGTCAGTTACACATTTACTAGCTTTGAACTTACTATACAACGAGAGCTAGAACAGTGACTGGGGTTTTTAGTGTAACGTCTTGACAGCGACTGTTTATGTCGAAACGACTCAAAACAAAATTCCATCGTGAAAAAAGKTCCCTTCTGAAAAACACGTGTGTATTTAAGGTGGAAAATGTTTCATATGAGCATTCMGATACTTAAAGGTTTATTTCTATAATCATTTTGTTTAGTTATGTAAATAAATTCAGCACGACTTGTACTGTTTGTCTGAATGAAAGGCGAGCTGCGGGTTTTCCCTTTTCTTTATTTACACTTTCAAATATGACCGCTTCACAAAAATGCACGGGCTCACTGGCTTACAACCTTGGCGAATTCATATGCAGGCCTGGTTGCAAATCAATCAATGGTCGAACATCAAATAACGGATTTGCATTTTGGAGATGGTATGGTATTGTGATTTCCAAACAATACCTGGCTGNGAAAAAAGTTCCCTTCTGAAAAACACGTGTGTATTTAAGGTGGAGAATGTTTCATATGAGCATTCCGATACTTAAAGGTTTATTTCTATAATCATTTTGTTTAGTTATGTAAATAAATTCAGCACGACTTGTACTGTTTGTCTGAATGAAAGGCGAGCTGCGGGTTTTCCCTTTTCTTTATTTACACTTTCAAATATGACCGCTTCACAAAAATGCACGGGCTCACTGGCTTACAACCTTGGCGAATTCATATGCAGGCCTGGTTGCAAATCAATCAATGGTCGAACATCAAATAACGGATTTGCATTTTGGAGATGGTATGGTATTGTGATTTCCAAACAATACCTGGCTGCTCATGCTACAAACAAAATTAAACGGTGTAGTGTGACAAGCGCACGTCAAAGACCAACCCTGCGATATTTAAAATGTATCAGAAGAGGACCTTTCCCGGGGGGGTACTCGACCCCATTTTGGATAGGTACGTGCCGCCAGCGGTCTAAAACCCTGATCCTGTTTAAGACACTAGAAAGTGATCCATATCCTGTTCAAGACAAATCGGAAAAATACGGAACCGCTATCTACGCCGCAACCATCAGAACTGCAATTAAACTGACATCCATCAAAGACAATAAGAAGCTTTTGATAACACGTTAAGCCTGCTACAGTGAAACGGTATTTCAACTATTTCTACGGTATTTCTTATGAAAATATTACCCTGTCCAAGACACAAAAAAAATTATATCGGTTTTTATCTAAATTGTAGAGCCTGTTTAAGACAATTTCGGGTGGAATGTATACCCTGTTTAAGACAGCAAGGCCAAAAACCATACCCTGGCCAGCGGCACGTCCCCGTATAGCAAATATATGGGAGTACCCCCACCCCCCCTCCCCCCCGCGGGGCCTTTACTCGCGCAACCACAAATTACGATA